TTAAAGAAGAGACCATGGGCATCTTCCTGGATGATTGCAGCATCTTACAATGCACAGCCTGCAAACAGCAACTATTTTGAGCCCTGCTGTTTTCTTGAGTTGCCCCCGCGCACACACACACGTACACACAGACACACCACATACAGGCAGAGTTGCACCAGCATTTCATCAATGTTCCTGTGGAGGTACATCAGCGTAGTCCCCAATCCCAACGCACACAGACACACCACATACAGGCAGAGTTGCACCAGCATTTCATCAATGTTCCTGTGGAGGTACATCAGCATAGAGTCCCCAATCCCAAAATTTCTTCAAGATACACCAGGACAGAATCCTAAAGTTCTCTCTCTGGGACCACAACCTGTGCTGTAAAATGGACATTCATTCACTCACTCACTCATTCATTTGATTTTTTTTTAAATCGCTACTCACCCAGAGGGTCTTGCAGTGACTTACAACACTTTAGATCAGGTGGTCACAGTATTTCAAGTGCCTCTCACATGACCAATGTCATTGTCCACCCTAGCAGGCTCTGTTTCAACTAAGGAACATTTCTCCAGTTTGAGCTGCATTCTTTGACTGGATGGGGTGGACTGTGTGGGAATGTATGGGAGGGGCACATGGGCCTCCCATTTTTCTGCAACAGCCTAGAGCTGAGTTGTACTGAAAGTTGGAGAAAGGGTTCTGTCATGCCCTTCTGGATTTGCCATCACTTGGAAAGTTAGAACCAGCCAGAGGGATCGCTGGCTTTGAAGCTGCCCCTTCCAATTGAGGCAGTAATTGCTTAAGGCCAGTAGGTCAGGAAAGGAATAACTGCCTGCAGAAGCAAAACGCTTCTCCTTTATTGCCATTTTGCTAGATGTTTTATCCTGTGCTGCATTTAACAAGAGAGTTAAGGGTATGCTGGCTATCTCCTGCAAGGCGACTCATCCACCTGCTGTCACAGATATCGTGGGACCAGTTTTAGCTTATTGCAAGCTGGAGTCTCAAAACATATTGAAAAAGGGGTTTATCCATCACGAGCACTTCAGCATACAGCACTCATGTCCACATACAGATTGCCAGGTTGAGCTTGTATGCTTCTCCCATTGGGGCAAAGAGAAGCGGGGGGGGGGCTTGTTTGAGAATGGAGAAAAGACCAAATGTGAGAACGAATCACCCATCCACCCCATCTTGGGGCTAGAATGTATGGGAGGGGCACATGGGCCTCCCATTTTTCTGCAACAGCCTAGAGCTGAGTTGTACTGAAAGTTGGAGAAAGGGTTCTGTCATGCCCTTCTGGATTTGCCATCACTTGGAAAGTTAGAACCGGCCAGAGGGATCGCTGGCTTTGAAGCTGCCCCTTCCAATTGAGGCAGTAATTGCTTAAGGCCAGTAGGTCAGGAAAGGAATAACTGCCTGCAGAAGCAAAACGCTTCTCCTTTATTGCCATTTTGCTAGATGTTTTATCCTGTGCTGCATTTAACAAGAGAGTTAAGGGTATGCTGGCTATCTCCTGCAAGGTGACTCATCCACCTGCTGTCACAGATATCGTGGGACCAGTTTTAGCTTATTGCAAGCTGGAGTCTCAAAACATATTGAAAAAGGGGTTTATCCATCACGAGCAATTCAGCATACAGCACTCATGCCCACATACAGATTGCCTGGTTGAGCTTGTATGCTTCTCCCATTTGGGCAAAGAGAAGCGGGGGGGGCTTGTTTGAGATGGAGAAAAGACCAAATGTGAGAAAGAATCACCCATCCACCCCATCTTGGGGCTTCTGATCCCAGTTAGAGCCTCTCATTGCTGCTGTTTACAAAGGAAATATGTCCTTAAGATCTGGTTGTGGATCTTCCACCATCTTTAGCCCAAGTGGGAATCTCCAGATCTTTCAACTTATTTAATGACTCCATGCCAGTATGTTCCTTATGTGAAACAAAGCTTTGTGCAATATTTAACCATTTATCTAATATTTCCATTTTGTATGACTCTTGAGGTTATTTTCAAGCAGCTTGTAGGCTCTTTCTCGACTGTTTTATGCTGCTTTCATTGGATGGTCATTCTATGGCTGGTAGATTGGAAAGGTTTTATTGCTGGGGGGACAGTTGACTGCACTGCTTTGTTGAGTTCTGAATTTGTTGTTACTTGGTTAGTCACCTGAAGAAGGTCTTGGGAGAGGCAGCATACAGATTTTCTCTGTAAATAAATAACTTATTTATATTTCACAGTCAACTACATTTGATTAAGTATTATGACAATGTAGATCTTGCCACGGTTTGAAGGCGTCTAAAACTACTTGCTATTTTGCATACTCTAATATTGTTAACATTCAGGGGTACATTCAATATTGTGGGTATTACATATCTCACATTGCATTTGCTCCTTATTGGATATACTTCTAAATCTAATAAAATCTTATGGCCTAATAGAAAAATGTATGTGTTACACATAAGATGGATATTCCTAAAGTTTTCAAATACTGCAAATATTTCAAGCTGTGCGAGAAGAAAGGCGGGTTTATAAATATTTTAAAAAGATAAATAGATAAACTGTTCCTGATAGTAAACGCACCACAGAGATCATTTGAAACTTCTGAGATCAGGCAAAGTTTTCAGTATTCCACATAATCTTGAAATCAATTAAACAGTGTAACAAACTGGGATTAAATACTGCATATTAGCCAAGTTGGACAAAGGTTTTTCTAATGCTGCCATTTGCTTTCAAGCTATAAACATACCAAGAATAAATGGCACAGGCTTTATAGTGTTGCATTACTGGTTAACATTTCACTCTCTCCAGAATTTAATTAAATGTTATAAAAAACAAACATGACTGAATATATTATACCAAGCCAAATATTCCTGAGTTTCAGAGAATGCACATATTCCCAAATTACAAACCTATCAGAAGACATAGATGATTAGAATCAAAATGAATGGCTATGCTGTGCAGAATCACTTATTAAGTACATAAGAAGAGCCCAGCTAGATCAAACCAATGGTCCATCTAGTCCATCATCCTGTCTCACACAGTGGCCAACCAGTTCCTCTGGAGGGCCAACAACAGGGTATAGAGGCCAAGACCTTGCTCTGATGTTGCCTCCTGGCTCTGGAATTCAGTGCTTTATTGCCTCTGAATGTGGAGGTTCCCCTCAGGCTACTGTTTGTAGTATTACATGCAAAGCTAACCCAGATCTCTGGGAACTGTTATCTTTTTCAATGTTTTGGTGGCCTGATGTTTTTCATCCCACACCTTGGAATTCTGTGAGGTCTGGATTGACAAGGAGCTCCTTCCAGATATGGGAGGGGCCATGGATCAGTGGTAGAGCATTACATGCAGAAGGTCCTAGGTTCAATCCCCAGCATCTTCAATTAAAAGGATCAGGTAATGGGTGCTTTGAAAGATGTCACTTGAAAGATGACATTTGAGAGCTGCTGCCAGTCAGAGTAGACAATACTGACCTTAATAGTCCTGGGGTCTATTAGTAATTAGTAAGGCAATTTCATGTGTAATCCCCTTTAAAGCTGTCCTGGGTTATCCTCCCCTTTCTCCCTGGAACTAGTTCACTGTGGAAAGCCACTCTTCCCTGGTGCTTTCAAGCATCAAAACTAAAATGTTAAACCAGACCTGATGAAAAGAATCTGATGAGCATGAGCCTTACACACACCCTCCCATGTTTCACAGATGCAAGTAGGGTGGAGTCTGGCAATGTGAAGGATAGTGGGGCCAACACAGTCCAGACTGAAATGTGTCACAAGCAGAAATCAGGAATTGTGTAGTCCTAAACCGAATCACACTCTTCTAAGCCCTCAGTTGTCTTAGAAGGGTTTAGCTCTGCCTAGGATCGCACTGTAGAAGTTCATGCAGTGCATAGGATTGCACTGTAAAAGTGCATGCGGGCAGATTTAACAATATACGAATCTTGTGTTTTATAAGCCATCCCAAGAGCCTGCATTGGCTGTGGATTGTGGGATGTAAGTTTTTAAGACCTATCAATCTATATAGTGACTACTGTCAATCTCAAATTGTGGCTCCGACAGTTCGGGACTTCTGAGACTGCTTCCTCAGGCTGCTGCTGTGCCTTTGTGGAGGTTGAACTCTGACCATTTTGACGGGGCTTTTAATCATCAAGCAGGTGGGTTGCAGTTTGGGAAGGCTAGGATAAATAATAGGGTGGCACTAGCGTACACGTAGGCAATCCTTTTTTGGCCTGAGTGCCAACAAAACCCACAGCGCCAAATTATGAAGTTATTTGCATATCGGCAAACAAACTGGAGGTGGGGGGGACAGACAAGGATTATACTTGGCCAGGTGCACTAGGAGCAAGCAGGGTTAGCAAACTCAAGGCGGGCCCTGGAGTTCTCCCAAAATTACCACTGATCTCGAGACTACAGAGATCAGTTCCCCCTGGAGGAGGTGGCAGCTTTGGAGGGCAGACTCGATGCCATCATATCCCCACTGAACTCTCTCCCCTTCCCAGACAACCACTTCCAAATCTGCAGCAATTCCCCAAGCCAGAGTTGGCAACCTTGGTAGCAAACTGACGCTCAGCGACACTGCCAGTGCCACAGGGGCTCTCCTCGGTCCCTTTGGCGACAAAGAAACAGCCCCATGCGCTGAGCAAAGAGGCCTGGCATGCATGCCTGGAGCTGAACCCATCAAACTGTCTTGTATCCTTGGTCGGTCAAGGTCAGTCTTGTCTGCTCTAGCTGGCAGCAGCTCTCCGGGGTCTTGGGCGGAGGTCTTTCCCATCACCTGAGCCTTTTACATGGAGATGCTGGGACTGAGCCTGGGAAAGCTGGTGCTCAAGCCCTGAGCCCTAGCCCCTTCCCTACCTACACCTCTGCTGTTGTTTAGTCCCATTGTCTTTTTCCCCAATTTGCAAACCTTCTTGTGAGCTTTTCCTGACTAGAAGGCTATATGTAAATAATAAGTTGTTATCATTCTTCATAATAGTAATTATAGCAAGAGTAATGCATTGATGCTGACAACGCTGCCTGTTCTGCCATTCTCCCTTTAGAACCCTGACATCGTGCTGGTGCACTACTTGAATGTACCCGCCATAGAGGACTGTGGGAAGCCGTGCGGCCCCATCCTTTGCTCCATAAACACCGACAAGAAAGAGTGGGCCAAATGGACAAAAGAGGAGCTGATTGGCCAGCTGAAACCAATGTGTGAGTATGCTGGGCTAGGACATGGGGGCGATGGGATGGGAGGGTGTTGGCCTCTGGCTGTCAGAGTCTGCAGCTGGATGCAGCTGGTGTGTCTTTCAGGAACCGGTGGACAAGATTTGCAAAAGAAAGATTACACAGAGCTCCCTGAGGAGTGCAGACTAAGGTCTAGTTTGGGGGGAGGGGGAACTGTGGTTGGGTGTCAAGGCTATTGAATATACTGAGGCTGTGTATTTTAAGAGCTTTTGTAGTGGTTCTTCCTTCATAATGCCTATACAGCAGTGAAATCGTACTTATCACCTTTTATTGTTTGGATCGAACTGCTCAAGACACTTAGAGTTCTGCAGTTGGATTTCCTTCCTTCCTTCCTTCCTTCCTTCCTTCCTTCCTTCCTTCCTTCCTTCCTTCCTTCCTTCCTCAATAGCAGTGGACAGGGACCCACTTTGGGTTAGGACCAATGCTCCCTCTAAGCTGTGGAGTCTTGTGAGCAAAAATTCTACTTTGTGAGCTACTGGCGTTAAAGTTGTGAGTGAGCGATTTGGCTACTGGATATATTAGTTTGCTCTGGAGCCCTCCTTCCTGAGGTAAGACAAAAATGTGTGAGCCGGAGGCTAAAAAACTGTGAGCTAGGTCGTACTAACTGAGCTTAGAGGGAACACTGGTCAGGACCATGGCACATGGGGAGGAGGAGGAAATGCAAGTTAAACTCCCCATCATTCTGAAATGGCCCCCATGAAGCTGCCGTGTGCTTCTTTGACAAATCCAGAGAGGCTGTATAGAAACAGCACAGAGAGAAAGAATCCCCTCTTCCCCCCCCCCCCCCCCCCCCGTCTGAATCAGGTCTCCACACCGCTGCTATTTAGAAAAGGGGGGGAAAATGCTTGGGATCTCTGAGCATGGACCTCCCGTTGTCCTGTACAGTCTGGCTTTAAGGTAAGTCTATCTGTGCCTTTGGCAGGCACAGTAAGCATGCCGGCCCGTTTCACGGTTTGTAACAAGCGTAGCTCAGTGCGCAAAGTCAGTGAGGTAGCCTGAGGGATAATCACATGTGACGAGTCAATGTGTACACGTACCTGCTGTGCTCCTGGCGTCCCAGGGCTTGCCTCCGTTTCTGCCCAGAAGTCATTTTTTAAAAAAAATTGATCTGGCAGGCATTTGTCTGCCTGCGCTGTAAGTTTTAACTTGTTGCCATGACAAACGTTCCATTGTAAGCCACAAACCGGTCAGCTTGTCACCCGCCTCTTCCACTTTCCTTGCCGCCCCGCCCGGCTGGGTTGCCTCCTTTCAGCCCCATCTTTCTCTCTCAAGACTGCCTGCTGCTTGAAGTGTGCAGATCATTCCAGAGCCACTCGCTGTTGCATACAGATAGCGGCCGTATTGAACCGCGCATCATTTGAGCAGCGAGGCATCCCTCTTGGCAGGAACGGGCTATGGAATGCAAAAGAGGCCGGCAATTGGAGAAATCTCCCATTCTGTTGGGCAAAGCCGTGCTGAGAATCAGCCAGGCCAGACCCTTCCTTGACTGCAGCTCTGTAGACCCCCAGTGGAGTTGGGCCAGAGACGAATCTCCTCCCCCCCCCCTGCAATTTGCACCTCATTTTCATTGGTCAATTTAGTCTGAAAGCAATGCTGTCCTTGCGATCCCGGTTCCCAGGATATTGCTGCTCCATTACTCCTGCTGGGCTCACAACTATGTTTGCAAAATGAGTTCTGGGGCTGACTGCTTGGAGCCTAGGAAAGAGGATTGCTGGGGCGTAGAGGGATACCTTCTGCGAGGGGCTCTGGATCGCGCTGGGGCTGCTGGGGAGGACAGTGGCTGCTTTGCCCGGTAGAACCAAGCAGAGGCAGGCGAGCCCATCAACAAAGCTCACAGGAAGGGGTATCCATCTGTACAGATCTGCTCTTCCTGGTGGACTCCTGAGAACTGTTCTGAGGGGTGGGGGAATCACAGTTGTAAATTGTCCTATTTAGTAATCTGGAATTCTGTCTGGTACCCACTAGTGAGGTCTGAAAAGCTGCTCTGCTACCTCTTGGCTCCAGGCATGGCCCACTCCCCTTCTGCCATGGGTCTTCTTTTTCCTGATCCTAAGACCAGTTCCAGGTTTTGAGGGGCCCTGGGCAGAGAGTACCCAGCCCTCACCACCTCACCATCACCATCAGGACCCCGCTCACACCTCCCATTCTGCCTGTGCACATGAGCCCCCTGCATGCCCTTTCCTCACCAGCCCTGGGTGGTGTGTGTGGCTGGGAGTGCCACTGCTGTGACCATCAGGAGCACGGCTGGCATCATCTACACGGTCACTTGTAGTGATGCTGGGCAGCCCAGGTGTCAAGGACCACGTCCAAAGAAGCCATCGGGGAAGGGCACGCAGGTAGGTAGCAGAGGAGGTGTGGGGTAGGAACTGGTGGCAGTGGACCCTCCCAGACGCTCTAGGCCCTGGCAGATGCCCCACCTCAGGATATGTTGACTCCGGGCCTGCTGGAGGGACAGCATTGATGTAAAAAGCTGGGAAACACCTGTTAGGGAAAGTGCTGGAATGGATATGACACACGTGGTTGATGAGACTGTTCTGGGAGAAGGGTAGCAAAGGGGGCGTCCCCGACAGGTCCCCAGTAAGGGCAGCTACAATGGCCCAAGTATTGTTTGCTAGGTAAAGGTAAAGGCTCCCTTGCTCGAAAGCCAGTCAAATCCGACTCTAGGGTTGCGGTGCTCATCTCCGTTTCAAAGCCGAAGAGCCAGCGCTGTCCGAAGACATTTCCGTGGTCATGTGGCCGGCATGACTAAACCCCAAGGCGCACGGAACGCTGTTACCTTCCCACCAAAGTGGTCCCTATTTATCTACTTGCAATTTCTTGCTTTCGAACTGCTAGATTGGCAGGAGCTGGACCTAGAGACGGGAGCTCACTCCTTCTTGCGGCACCCGGGTCTCGAACTGCTGAACTACTGACCTTCCACAGCCTGCAGTTCAGTGTCTTAACCACTTGAGCCACTGCAGTACTGTTTGCTAGGTACCTGAGCCAAAAGTGGCCCACAGAGTGATTCCCTGGTCTGCCGTATCTCCCTGGCTTCTTCCTAGGCCTTGCTGCGTTCTCTCTGGTTTGCTCCAGTCCCTCATAGAATTGCTGTTCCTGGCATTGTCTGCACGTCTTTTCTCAGCCTTGTTTTTCTGAATAGAAACAGTAGCTGAGATGCTCAGGGCTCAGACATGCCTTTTGCACTCTTCCTGCTCCTGGTGCAGGTCCACAGCACAAGCATGGCTGTGGCTATGCAGAAAAAAACAACAGTCCTTTCTTGCTTCATGCCAACACACACGGCCCTGACCTTAGGCAGATGGGCCAAATCACCCCCATGGGAGGGAGAAACTGCTCTGAAACTTTTTGAGGGCATCACTGATACTAGTCCAAAGCCTGCGATGTAGCACGGAAGGAGAAGGTGGCAGCAGGTTTGAAAATCTGCAGTGCGTCAGGAAAACGACGGGAGAACGACACCAAACCAGCCGTAAATCTCTTTTATGCCTTGGGAGGGAAGCGCAAAGTTCTGCCCAATTATTCAGCCTGCTTATGCATGCACACGTCCCTGTTTATAGATGCACATCCTGGGAAAGGCTTCCTTGGAAATGCAGCTCAGAGTTTAAAGTGGGATTGCAGGGCCGGGGTGGGGGGGCGCTTTAGATTCGGATCGGAATTTGGGAAATGCGTGGCGCTTGGCTGAGCACGTTTGGGGAGTGCCAGGAGTGCTCCTCGCCAGGCAGGCCTCAGATTGGGTTCCAAGCGGAGCATGCTGCTAAATCCTGAAGCCAAGCACATTAGCCGCCTCACATTTTTCACATAAATCACATTCTATCGCAGGCTTCACAGTTTGATTTCCTGATGTTTCCAAATTTCTCTGCCCTGAAGGAGATTAGTCAGTGATTGAATCTGAGTGTGGTGCCTGGCCTAGTCCAGGCGCGCCTTTACGCTAGAGGCTCTTGTATCTCTTCTTTGTGCCCCCCCCCCAATCTCCTTTTAAAAAAATACTTGTTGCATAATGCAGCTCTGGTATTTTTTCATTATTATGACTTTTATTCCTCCAGACCTTTGAAAGGCAAGGTGAACAGGTGAGCTTTGCCTTCTTTCTTTCTCCCCTTTGAGTCCGAGCTTTCAAAATAGCTCTCTTACGGCAGGGACCCGGCTGCACCTCTCTGCCAGCCACTTAATTACCAAGCCCATATGCCACCTCCTCAGGGACGGATTCAAGGGGGATTTATAGCCTCTCTTGGAATGGCTTTTCTTTCAGGCTGGAGAAAGAAACTTTCATTGGGGGAAACCTCTCTCTCTCTCTCTCTCTCTCTCTCTCTCTCTCTCTCTCTCTCTCTCTCTCTCTCCTCTCTCTCTCTCCCCCTCTCCAAGGCTTGCTGCAGGTGCCTTTGACCTATAGAAGACAAGAGGCTGGATTACGTTAACGAGCAAACAAACAGAAGCCTCCCATTATAAAGCAAGCCATTATTTCTACTCAGTATGGAGTAGTGCCTGGCCCTTTGTAGAGCAGCATAAGCGGGGCGGGGGGAATGCAGGCCCTGCCCTGAGGAGCTTGCAGTGGGCATTTTGACAGTGAGGGAGACAGCTGAGTGGGGGAGAGGCAGGGCTAGAGAAAAGAGGGGTTGGGAAAGACCCATAAGAATCATGAGAAGAAGATGAGCAAGTATAGGGACTTGATCTTCAGTTGGAAATGAGACTGAAGGCTGACGCATGCGCGCTTTTTCTCTCTCTCTCTCTCTGTGTGAGAGATCTTGCAAACTGCAGGCCGTGGCTTCCTCAATTGAGTCAATCTATCTCATGTTGGGTGTTCCTCTTTTCCTCTTGCCTTTGACTTTTCCTAGCATTATTGTCTTTCCCAGTGTGTCTTGTCTTTTCATCATGTGATCCAAGTACAATAGCCTCAGTCTGGTCATTCTCGCTTGTAGGGAGAGTTCAGGCTTGATTTTATTTAGAATCCACTTGTCTTTTTTGGCGGTCCATGGTCC